CCGCAGCGGTGGGGGCATCACACGTGGGGGAAGGGGCGAGGGAAGGTGGGGCCGCAACGGGAGGGCTTCACACGCGAGGGAAGGGGCGAGGGCAGGCGATGTCGCCGGAGCAGGGGAGGACGACGAAGCGCTGGTCAATGGAGGCGGTGTCGAAGCTGTAGATGGACGACATCCGCTTCTGGAACGAAACGGAAGGGAACGCCACAGTGAAGTTGATACAGGAAGCGCGCCTGTATCTTGTGGCGGTGGCGCGTGGATTGCAGCCTCCAGCCATTCGTCGAAGCATCGTCTTGCCTCATTCCACCATCCCAGAGCAGAAAACCGAGGATGAAATGGAGTTGAACGTGGCGAAGGAGAGGGCGTTCAATGTGCAGACCATCGCTTTGCGGGTGATCCACGGGTGGATCTTCAAGTCGACGAGCAGGCAATGGGGGTACCACGCAGCATGCGGGTACGCATTGAACCACGAGGCCGCTGACATCGCTCGCGCCATGTGGATGCGGGAGGACTCGCGTATATGTGTGAGCCCCATGGTGTTCCACATTACACTAGACATGGATATGAAGTTGCCACTATGGTTCGTCGGCGCCGACATCGAAGACAGGCACGAGAATGACGACTTGGTGGCGTACCAGGAAGCGAGCATTCAACGACTGGTTGGGGCTTTCACGAGCGCCGTGAGCATGGCAGAGGGGATCAATGGCGGACGGGTGTCGCACGAAAGGTTGCAGAGCGTTGCTGACGCGATGAGGACAATGCTCGCGGCGACCATGTGGCTCATGTGGATGAGCAGGGACGATCATCTCGCACATTACGACGCGTGGGTTTTCGTCCAACTGACAACGAAGCCAACGCTCGCCGCATCCATGCATCACACATTCGACGCTCGTCGCCATATTGTGCAAGCTGCGGCCATCATCACAGACAAGTTGGCGAGACCCCCCCTTGACTTTGGTAGCCCCTCCATTGTACATCCCCGACTGGACGTCTTGCGGCGGGAGGTTCTCACATGACGCCACCTTGTCTTCCCCCATGGAGGCCAAAAAGCTGGATTGGCTGGGCACGGGCCCCCTAAAAGAGAAAGAAGACGACAAAGCCAACGACGAAGGCAGCGGGGGGGGTTGATGACGCGTTCATGGCGGCCGTCTTCGACGTCGCCATCGCAGGGCGGGATAGGGGTGGTCCTCGTTTGTCCCGGAGAGACGGTGTCGTGGAATGGAGGGGGGCGGGGGGGGGGCGTCATGCATGTGAGTGTTCGTCGTGCTTGTTGTTTTCTCTCGCGCGGTGCTGCTCTGCCGTCGTGGTTGGTGAAGACGGCTCACCCATCGTCATGCCGGAGTGTACATATGTTCAAGGGGCTTTGTACGGCATGGGGGGCTTTCCGGTTCCGTTCGGCTATTGCAGGCATGTGTCTTTCGTGTCGTTGTACTGTTCGTAGCTAGTACTCCGATTTTGTAGGCGGCTTTGTCTAGTCGGCAACACGTGGGATCGTCGTGGCAGTGGCGGGAAGAGAGGTTCTCGCCAAGGAGTCGTTGGTGGTGAAGACTGGAGAGATGGAAGAGGGGCAGGTGAGGGGTGAGGGGGGGGGGGGTTCGCTGTGTAACGGGCTGAACGCGCTGAACGCGCGTTCATACCCCCTGGGGCCGCGTTCAAACGCGCTGCGCGCCACGTGGCGCGTAAAAATTGAACGCGACCTCGCGCCCCGCATGCGCGCGTCGCGGACTACGGGGTGGTGGCACTCATTCAAAAAACCCCTAAAGTGAAATAAAAACCCTCCCCGGAGTACCCCCACCACTACCCCCGCCACAAGTACGGCGTCACCCCCACCATTGTGTGTGTGTGAATGTGTGTGTGTGTGTGTGTTAATGCTCCTTTTTTTTTTTCGGGGGGGTAGGGGAAACCCCCTAACACGGCTCAGACGGCCTATGCAGGCTGTCTAAGGGGTCCTCGCAGCCATGTGGTGCAGACCCCCCCACCAAAATCGAGGCAGGCAGTGTGTATGAAATAGAGCACGAGCTGGCCGAATATATGCTCAGGACTCAACTTCAGGTTTGTGTTTCAGCAGTTATGGGTCGCTCACGTAGCTAGGCCTCTGCACGTGATTCTAAGGGCTTGGGTGCACTACTCACCAAATGTGCAAAACTAGAATGAATCTACTGCAGAACATGGAATAATACGCCGCCGTATGTTTTGTCTGTTGTGCATGTGCTGAGTAGAGGTCCTACTACACATATTCCTAAGAAAAAAGAAAAAGGAGAAAAAAAAAAAACAAGAAAAAACAAAAACAAAACAAAAGAATGAATCTTCCACAGAACATGGAATAATACGTGGCCATCTGTTTTGTCTGTTGTGCATGTGCTGAGTAGAGGCCCCACTGCACGTATTCCTAAGAAAAAAAAAAAAAGAGAAAAAAAAGAAAAACAAGAAAGAAAAAAAAGCAGAAAAAAAGAATGAATCTTCTGCAGAACATGTCTTTGTGCATGTGCAGAGTAGAGACCCTTAGGGCCACTGCACGTATTCCTAAGACAGTCTCCACAGAGACGAGAGGGCGTTGCTACAGACTTAAAAAA